GTGCAAATTCCAGTGGGGAATTTTTCAGAGATTCAGATTAAATGGCCTGGAGCCGTTTAATCTCCTGTCCCTGAAATCCCACTGTGCCTTCCCAGAGAAGTGCTGGATAAAAGGCTGGAGCTGCTGGGGTTTCCCAGAATTTCCTGCTCCCAGCCCCGCAGCCAGCAGAGGGCACGGTGGGACCGAGATATTCTGATTTCTGAACCAACTTCATTCACCAGCAATGAATTAATGCCGATTTTCACACCCCTCAGCCGTGAAACCCCCCCCCAAAAAAAATCCACCCAAATCCACCCTGCTCCCACTTGAGACTGAAAATTCCTCTGAGCTCCTCAAATTCCCTGGAAAAGCAAATTTGAGGGGTTTTGGGTGCGGTTTGACAGTGACAAACACTGAATGTGCTCAGGGAGCTGCTGCTGGGCCAGCAGGGAATAAACTGAATTTCTGGGAATGTTTGTTTTTTTTTTTTTTTTTCCTCGTGCCTTCCAGGAATGGAAACTCCAATATGGAGAGTTTAAAGCCACGGGACTGTTGGGTTTTATATTTTATTTAGAGTTCTGAGACTTTTTTTAATACTTGAGAAATACTGAGGAATATTTTCTGGTGTTACATTTTTAGATGTATTTTTTGTTAAAGTGTTATTAGTGGCAATTTGTGGTTATTAAAGACTCTGAAAGTGAAATTCGTGGAGTTTTTCTCCCTGGATTTGTTATTTGGAAGAGGAATCTGGTCCAGAAAGGAATTCTCAGTGGGGATGTAGACAAGATCTGGAATTTTGACTTTTCCCAAAAATGCCACAGGCACAGAGAGTGGGGAAGAATTTCCAGGATACCAAACACCTCTCATGGTGGGAGTTAGGATATTCCAAGGGGGGGGTGGGAAATTTTTCCAGAGGAAAACATGGAAAAATTTATCCAAACCTCTCAATAACCACAGGGGAGAAGCTGCCTCTGGGTGAGGACTCTTGGATCCCACAAATCAACAAATTCCAGCTGCTGGGAATAAACAGGGAATTAATTGGGTGTGCTCCCAAATATCCCAAATATCCCAACTCCACTGGAAAATTCTTTGGAGAGTTGGAATTCGTGCACAGCCACCCCTGACAGGCAGGAGATCCCTCCCAGCTCTTCCCAGGGAATTCTGACACCCCGTGGCTCCTTCTGGAAGTTTTGCTCCATCAGGACGATGCAGTTGGAATATCAGCTTGGAATATCAGACATCATTCCTGCTTCCAGGATTTGATGGATTTTTTTTTTTTTTTTTTTTTGCTCTGGGCCTTTTATTTCAACATCCACTGATGTCAAATCTGTTCCTTCCCATCTCATCAGCTCCTGGTGTAATCCAGCAGGAATTTCACCCCCAGCCCCTCTGGTGACTCAGGGAATGTTCTGGGATCCAAAGGGATGAGGAGATGGATCCAAGCTGGTTTTGTTTCTTTTTTTTTTTTTTTTTTTTTTGGGAACTTTATTTTCTGTGGAAAAGCAGATTTTAGGTTGCTGAGAGAACAGAGGAGCTCTGCAGGTTTCACTCTCTGTGCTCCCCAATACTCTCAATTCTTTGGATTCTTCCAGAAAATCCAAGAATTCCCAGAAAATGGAAATGCTCCTCACCTGAAGAGCCCAGGGTGACAAGTTCTCTGCCCAGTGTCACCTGCAGGCTGTCACTGTCACTTTGTGCAGCCACTTTGGACATTCCAGGGGCTGGGTGGGACAGCCATGGAGCAATTCCTTGGGATCAGGGAGGCTGGGAATTGTCAGATCCCCACGTTCTGCAGAGCCAGGCCTTGTCTGGCCCAGCCTCTCCTGATTTATCTGGGGATTGTGATGAACTGGTCCCTGAAGGGATCCTAAAAACTGCCTGGAGAGACTCTGGGATTAAGGGATCCTAAAAACTGCCTGGAGAGGGTCTGGGAATGGGGACATGAGGCCTCTGCCTCATCCCTGCCATGGATTTACTAAAAGGATCCTAAAAACTGCCTGGAGGAGCTCTGGGAATGGGGACACAAGAGAGGCCTCATCCCTGCCATGGATTCCCTAAAGGGATCCTAAAAAACTGCCTGGAGAGGGTCTGGGATTAAGGAATCCTAAAAACTGCCTGGAGATACTCTGGGAATGGGGCCATGAAGCCTCTGCCTCATTCCTGGCATGGATTCCTCCCCAGAACCTTCTGGAATCCTCCTTTTCCAGCTCATCCTTGACCAGGCAGGTGCAAACACAGCCTTGACCTGCAGCAATCCCAGAATTATCCCCATTTCCTGAGCCCTGTAGCCACACTTGGCTGTTCTGCCCAGGGCCAGGAGCCCATTCCAGGCTGGAATCCATTGCCTGGATTTTTCCAGGGATCAGAGGTTGGGGCTGGCAGGGGGAGTGGGACATGGGTGTCACCGTGCCTGGCAGGGGGAGGTGTTGGTGGCCCCTCAGGGTGACATCCTGGCCCCAGAGCAGCCACATTCGGGTGACAAAAACCCACAGGAAACCACAGGCAGGGCGGTGCCTCCTCGGGGCAGGGTGGGGGAAGGAATCCTGATATGGGATGGGATAATGGGATAATGGGATGGGATCCATGAAATGGGATGGGATGGGATGGGATGGGATCCATGAAATGGGATCCATGAATGGGATCCATGAATGGGATCCATGAAATGGGATGGGATGGGATCCATGGGATGGGATCCATGAAATGGGATCCATGGGATGGGATCCATGAATGGGATCCATGAATGGGATCCATGAAATGGGATGAAATGAGATCCATGGGATGGGATCTGGGCAACTCTGCCCAAATTCCCCCCTGGAATGGAGCCCTTCCTGCAGGATCCTGGCCTGGCTCTGCTTCAGAACAGGACAATGGGAAAGTTTGGAAAACTTTGGTTGTGTGCCAGGGGTTGCTGATCCCAGCTGGGTTTGGGGTCCTGTCATGAGCAATTCCCAATTTCTGATGGACAAAGGGATTTATCCACATTTCTCTTGAGTCTCATCCATGGCTGCAAAAATCCTCCCAGGCTGGACTCAGGGGGTTTGGAGATGCTTCCCACAGTGGGGGAAGGAATCCTGCTGGGATGGGATAATGGGATGGGATAATGGGATGGGATAATGGGATGGGATAATGGGATGGGATCTGGACAGCTCTGCCCAAATTCCCACCTGCAATGGAGCATCCAGAGCCATTCCTGCAGGATCCTGGCCTGGCTCTGTTTTGGAGCAGGACAATGGGAAAGTTTGGGGAATTCTGAGCCGTGGTTGTGCCAAAATCCTCCCAGGCTGGACGGGTTTGGAGATGCTTCCCACAGTGGGGTGTGGGACAAACTCTGCTCTTGGGATTCCCTGACTGGAACAGGAGCCTTGGGAGTCTTTGGACCTAAAATGAGTTGGTTTTTGAAATGGTTTCAGGGGAAAGAGCTGAAGAACCAGCAGGGTTTGGCTGTCAGAGCCGAGCAGCTCCTTGGTGTGACAGGACAGGTGACAATAAGGGGGTGACAGTGACTGTTGTCACCTTCTCTTGCTCATTAAATCTGTCATTTTTAAGCTGCTTCTGCTTCACTTTGAGAAAATCCCTAAATCCGAGCCTGGAGGCTGATGAAAAATCCCTTTTTTCTTCCCAGTGGGATCCTGGAAGCACAGAGGGAATAGGGATGGATGAAATGCAGGAAGTTGGGTGAACCCATTGGAGCCTCTCAGCAGCTCAAGCTGAGTTTAGAGCTCAGTTTTGGGCTGGTTCTTGTTTGATCAGATCAGTTCCCTGTCCCCATTTGCAGATGAAATGAAAATTGGAGCTATCAGGGCAAGGAGCTGATAAAAGATCCTTGCTAAGAACAAAGCCTGGAGTTTATTCATCTGTGCTGAAGGGAAAAAAAAAAAAAAAAGGATCTTCAGGGAAAGGGGAGGCTTCTTGGGAAGAAATCCTGCCAAAGGCTGGTGGGAGAGGGAGGTTTCTTAAATCACTTGAATAACATCGGGTTTCTTTCAAGGATCTTTTCTTTTTCCCCCTTCTCCCTCAAAAAAAAAAAAGTTTGTTTTATGGTTTTTCTTGACTTCCAGAAGGAGCTGTGTCCCTAAAAATCATCCTCTCACCCCTTCCCACCCAGAACTGAACCCACCGAACCCCTGCAGCCTTTTTGGGGTCCTGTCACCCTCCCCACCAGCCTGGCAGGGCACTTTGGTGTCTCTGGGGACTTGAGAAGCCACAAGGAGACAGCAGGGGTGGGTGAGGCAGAGATAGGGGGTGGCAGCAGCTGCTCAGGATGTGCTGCTGATTCCGGGACAGCTCCCGCCCTTTTTGGAACATCTCCAGCCCTTTTTGGAAATCAGGAGTCAGGAGCAGGGCAGGAGGGGACAGCCCCTGATAAAGTCCCCAAGGATGGCAGCCCCAAAGGAGGGGACAATTCCTGATAAAGTCCCCATGAATGGCACCCCAAATGAGGGGACAGCCCCCGATAAAGTCCCCATAGATGGCAGCCCCACAGTCCCTGATAAAGTCCCCATGGATGACAGCCCCACAATTCCTGATAAAGTCCCAAAGGAGGGGACAATCCCTGATAAAGTCCCCATAGATGGCAGCCCCAAATGAGGAGGGGACAATCTCTGATAAAGTCCCAAAGGAGGGGACAATCCCTGATAAAGTCCCCATNAAGTCCCAAAGGAGGGGACAATCCCTGATAAAGTCCCCATGGATGGCAGCCCCAAAGGAGGGGACAATCCCTGATAAAGTCCCCATGGATGGCAGCCCCACAATTCCTGATAAAGTCCCAAAGGAGGGGACAATCCCTGATAAAGTCCCCAAGGATGGCAGCCCCGAGAGCCACAGGCTGGAGCTGCAGCAGCTGGCAGGTCACGATAGCTCCTGTGCTGTCACCTCCCTGCCCTGGGCATGGGGACAGAGGTTCTGTCCCTCCTTCCCTCCCTCCCTCCCTGCTCCTCTCTCGGCTGGAGCTTCCTCCATAATTCTCCATGATTTCCTCTGGAAGTTTCTGGGCTCCACTCGTTGTCCCTCTTGTGCAGCTCCTTGGGGACTTTGAGGGTCCCCCCTTGGGATTGGGGGGTGCTGTGGGATCCTTCTCTCCCAGGAAATGAAGTTTTGAAGAGGGGGGGAAAAATAAGTGAAGGCAATATTAGTGGCTAAAATATTGATCCTGGATCACATCCCTGGACAAAAGTTCCCTCAGGAAATTCCCTTGGGTTGGGTGTGAGGAATTCCATTTGGAACCCCCAAAAATTGCTCTGAGCAGGTTTTCCATGCTCCAGTTGGGCAGGAAGGGAAAGGTTTTTATATCCCCGTGGATTTGGGGAAGAGCAGAGGGGTTTTAGCTCAGGAATTCGGATTTTTTTTCCCTGATTTTAGTGGGAATCTCGGATAAGGGACTTTCCTCAGCCTCACCACCAGAGCCGGGTCTGTTTTGGGAGGGGGGAAAAAAAAAAATTCAAATGTTGATAAAACGATTTCCCACGGGCCCAGCAAAGATCCTGCGGCTCGGGGGCACCCGGGGGGGGGGGGGTGGGGACACGCCACGCTTCACGTGCACACAACTGTCACCTCGTGTCACTTGGGGCTGTTTGCCTTTCTTCTGTGACAAATGAGGTCCCCACATCTGGCGGTGGCGGTTGAAGTTGGTGGCCCGATTTAATCACAGCCAGGGAGGAGAGGAAGGGGGTGACAATGACAAACAGGGGGTGACAATGACAAACAGGGTGACAATGACAAACAGGGGGTGACAGACGGGGGGTGACAATGACAAACAGGGTGACAGGCACAGGGTGACAAGCAGGGGGTGACAAGAAGAGGGTGACAGGTGAGGGGTGGCAAGCAAGGGGCAACAAGCAGGGGGTGACAAACAGGGGGTCACAAGCAGAGGGTGACAGGCAGGGGGTGACAGTGACAAACGAGGTGACAAGCAGGGGGTGACAAGCAGAGGGTGACAGGCAGGGGGTGACAATGACAAATGGGGTGACAAGTTGGGGGTGACAAGCTGAAGGTGACAAACAAGAGATGACAGGCGCGGGTGACAATGACAAACAGGATGACAATGACAAATGGGGTGACAAGAAGAGGGTGACAAGAAAGGGGTGACAGGCAGGGGGTGAGAGAGGGGTGACAAGCAGGGAGTGACAAGCAGGGGGTGACAATGACAAACAGGGTGAAAATGTGACAATGGCAAATGGGGTGACAAGAAGAGGGTGACAGGCAAGGGGCAACAAGCAGGGGGTGACAAACAGGGGGTCACAAGCAGAGGGTGACAGGCAGGGGGTGACAATGACAAACAGGGTGACAGTGACAAATGGAATTGACAAGCAGGGAGTGACAAGAGGGGGGTGACAAGAAAGGGGTGACAGGCAGGGGGTGACAAGCTGGAGGTGACAGGGGTGACAAGCAGGTGACAGGGGTGACAAGCAGGGGGTGACACGCAGGGGGTGACAAACAGGAGGTGACAGGGGTGACAAGCTGGAGGTGACAGGGGTGACAAGCAGGTGACAGGGGTGACAAGCAGGGGGTGACAGGCAGGAAATGGGGAGAACCCCCCAGCCTGCCCCATTCAGTGGCTCTTTCCTGCCCGGTGAAAGGGGACAATGGTGACATTGTGACCTCCCAAAGTGAACCGAGGCCGAATCGTTTTGTCACTGTCCACAGAGAGCCCCGTGCTGATCCTCCCTCAGCAGCCATCGCTCTGGGATCCCCGTGGATCCCATGGAGGAGGGGATCCCAGGGATCAGGGGATCCCATGGATCAGGGATTCCCATGGGGCAGGAGATCCCAGGATCAGGGGATCCCATGGATCAGAGGATTCCCACAGACCAGTGGATTCCGTGTTTCTGTGGATCCAATGGATCAGTGCATTCCCATAGATCTGTGGATCCCATGGAGCAGGGGATTCCATGGATCAGTGGATTCATGTGGAGCAGTTGATCCCATTGATCTGTGGGTTCCTGTGGGTTCCCAAGGATTCCTGCAGATCAGTTGATCTCCTGGATCGGGGGATCCCATGGATCAGTGGATTCCTGCAGATCCGTGAATCCTAAGAATCAGTGGATCCCACAAATCAGTGAGTCCCATAGATCAGTGAATCCCATTAATCAGTGGATCCCACAAATCAATGGATCCCATGGATCAGTGAATCCCAAAACCAGTGGATTCCATAGATCAGTGGATCCCATTGAGCAGGGGATCCCATGGATCAGTTGATCCCATAGATCAGTGAATCCCATTAATCAGTGGATCCCACGGATCAGTGGATCCCATGGATCAGTAGATCCAAAAAATCAGCAGATCCCATGGATGAGCAGATCCCACAGATCCGTGCATTCCCAGGCTGTCACTGCTGCAGGAATGATTCCCATTCCCAGGTGGGTGGAAAAGACACCAAAGAGGGGAAATTCGGCTTTGCTGTGACAAGGAGGATTTGGGGGCTGGAATCCAGGACTGGGAACCACCAAGGATCTGGATCTTCCCAGCAGGAGCCAATTTTGCTGACAGAAAAATGAGTTTTTCCAGCCAAACTTCCACTGGTTTTCCCCCTTTTTCTGCTCACTTTTTGCAGTGAGTGAACATTTGAATGGAATTTTTCCAAATCTTCCCTCCATCCTCTCCTCTCCCAACCCAGATAAGAGCAGGTGGGACAGGTGAGAAATCCCAAGATAAAATCCACATGAAAATGGAATATAAATGAAAAAAAAAAAAAACACAAAAACAAAGAAAACAAACAAAAAACAACCAAACAAAACCTAAGAAAAAAACCCCAAACAACAACAAAAAAAACAAAAAAAAAACAAAAAAAAAAACCCCCAAAAAAAAAAAAAAAAAAAACAAAACAAAACAAAAAAAAAACCCCAAAACAAAACAACAACAACAACAAAAAAAAAAAAAAAAAAAAAATAAAGAGCTGAGCAAAGAGACCAAAGGATTTGGTGTCACCCCCAGCTGGAAGGGACCCTCTGGGAAGGCTGGAAAGGGTTAATCCAGGGCTGCCGAGAGCCTCTTTTGAAATCTGATTTTCTTTTTTGCAACCAAGTGAGGTTTTTATCGACTTCCTATGCGAGAGCAGAAGTTGGAGGGTGCAGGGAGCCCCGAGCTGCTTTTTCCTCCTCCCTGCAGCTGCTTGGGTGTGGCACAGCAGGAGCCACAGCTTGGAAAAATGGGATATTTTAGGGCAGGGGAACAATCTCAAAATTCAAAATATTTTTAAGGGTTTTGTTCTGGGTTTTTTTATTTTTTTTGTTTTTTTTTTTTCCCCAGCATCAGCCCCTCAAACAAGGCCTGTGTGTCCAAGGCCTGAATTCCTTGTGCCAAATTCCTGGTGGAAAACAACAAACTGACACTTTGTGCTTGGAATATCCAGGGGATGAGACCTCCAAAATCAAAATCTTTTGGGCTTGGAGCCACCTGGATCAGCATCAGGAGAGGTGAGGAGCAACTTCCCCTTGGAATTTGTTCCATCCTGCATTTTTCCTCCTCCTGGGAAGAATTTCCTGGCTCCAACAGATCCCTGCTTCATGAATGTGCATCTGCAGGCTCTAACCCAGGAGTTTTGTGCAGTTTTTGTTCTTTTTTTTTTTTTTTTTTTTTTTTCCCTCTTCCAAGGATTTTTTTTTTTTTTTCCCTTTAGGAAAAGCTGTTCCAAGCTCAGGTTTCCAAGCTCAGGTTTTGTGTGGGAGCAGAGCCCAGGCAGGCACAGATGGACTCCAGGTTTATGGAAAGCACCTTCCAAACCAGCCCTGCTTGGGTTTCTAACCTGATCCTAAAAATAAATAAATCAAAACGGGAGCTTTGCCCTTTTTTCTTTTTTTTTTTGCTGTCTGAAGTCTTTAATTCCATTCCAGGCAGAGCCTGGATCAGCCTCACCGTTGGAAATACCCCAAAAGTCTCAGATTTTTGCAGAGATTTCCCCAAAATTCTTCATCTTATCTTTACCTCAGCATTTTCCTGTCATCCTGCAGAGGACAGAGCCAGCCTGAATTTGAGGAGGGGACGGGTGTGGGTCACTTGTCCTGGGTGCTGTGGCTTTCTCCAGGCAGGGAAAGAAATCCCAGTCTTTGGGATGCTTTAAATCTTTTATCAGGGCAGGGAAAGATGCAATTCCAATATTTGGGATGCTCCAAACCCTTTATTCATGCAGGGAAAGAAATCCCAATCTTTGGGATGTTCCAAATCCTTTCTCGAGGCAGAGAAAGATACAACCCAAATATTTGGGATGCTCCCATCACAATCCCAAGACTTGGGATGCTCCAAACCCTTTATCAAGGCAGAGAAAGATGAAATCCCAATATTTGGGATGCTCCCATTACAATCCCAATCTTTGGGATGCTCCAAACCCTTTATCAAGGCAAGGAAAGAAATCCCAATCTTTGGAATGCTCTAAATCTTTTATCAGGGCAGAGAAAGATGCAACCCAAATATTTGAGATGCTCAAAATCCTTTATCAAAGCAGGCAAAGATGCAATCCCAACACTTGGGATGCTCCAACTCCTTTCTCAAGGCAAGGAAAGAAATCCCAATCTTTGGGATGCTCCAACTCCTTTCTCAAGGCAAGGAAAGAAATCCCAATCTTTGGGATGCTCCAAATCCTTTATCAAGGCAGGGAAAGATGAAATCCCAATATTTAGGATGCTCCCATTACA